TCTCTCACTTGTTCCTGTCTGCCTGCTTTGGCACCTTGAAAACCAGGCTATATGCTGAAGTCCAAGTCAGTCAGGTGGGCCAAAGCCTCTCCTGGTTCACACATACAGGTCTGTGGTGCTTTGAATGTGCTTGGCCCAGGGAGTGGCACTATTTGGCGGTGTGGCCTCGTTGGAGTGGGTGTGGCTTTGTTGGAGGAAGTGTGTCACTGCGGGGGTGGGCTTTGAGAGCTTCCTCTTAGCTGCCTGAGGAAGCCAGTTTTCTCCTGTTTGCCTTTGGAACAAGGTATTGAACTCTCAGCTCCTCCTGCACCATGCCTGCCTGAACACTGTCATGCTCCCTCCTTGATGATAATGGACTGGACCTGTAAGCCAGTTCCAATGAAATGTCCTGATAAGAGTTGCCTCGGTCATGGTGTCTGTTCACAGCAGTAAAACCCTAACTTAGACTAGGTCCCCACCTATTATGAGGCTCAGCATGGCCACAACTCTCCACACCAGTCTCACAGTCCCCGCTGAATCCGTCTCTTAGGTCTCCCATAATTAAAGTCTCGATGGGCTTGTGAACTGGACACCTAACATCACTTCCCACATCCCCAATTCTCTTAGGGCCTGCCTTTCTGTTTTCCAGTCCCTGATATCCAGGGAGACCTCGGCTACGGATAGATAGCAGCTCCTCAGTGCCATCCAACCAGAGTGACCCCTCATGCTTCTGCTCCGCTCTGTGCCGTGAAGCCTTTGTCTCAAGGAGGGATGGGCAGTCACCTTGCCTAGTTTCTCCGCTCTGGCTATGCTCAGGCTGATGCTGTCTGATCCCTGTGTCCAAGCCTCATAAGTCAGGTGGCAAAGGATTCCTGCATTGCTCATTCTAAATGTTCCCTAGGTCCACCGGCTGTCACTCAGTGTTCTGATCACTTACTCTTCCACACTGACCATTGTTAAGACCTCTGTACACCGAGGCATCAGTTTTCCCTTTATGTTACAGGCTGGACCTGAGGAGTGTCGTTTGTCACTTTTAGGTTCCTTCCCCATAGGTTCTGGTTTCGGGGTCTCGGGAGAGGCTCTGTATTACTGGTCAAATGTGGACTTTCTTCCTTTTAGGGCCCCCTAGCCATAAAAAGCAAGAGGCCAACATCTCCATGTATTCTCTCTCATCTGGTTTTCCTGCTAAGTCTTAGGCCAATACAGAAGGGCCAGCCTCTTATCCCTGTCTCCCTCCAGGCTGCCTCTACAGCTGTTTGCTGATACCTCCATCCCTGATGCATCCCTCCAGGGTTTGTAATATCTGTTCTCAAAGCATCTCTACTTCCTAGGCAAATCCCACCCACCAAGCAGGTATGCCATTCCGTACCACCCAGAAGGCTGTCATCCTGGAGTTTTCGCCACAGACATGCCCATCACTTAGGTGGTTTCACCTGACTCATTAATCTCCATTCTCCTGTGGCTCTCCCACAAACCCTATACAGAGAAACCACCAGGTCAAAATTTTCTCTGTAAACAACCTGTCCTCTCCCCATGCAACTTTATTAATTTGTGTCATTTCTCCATATTATGGGTGACATCATTGCCCTTCCAAAGCTCGCACATGTTCTGCTAAAATTCCTTCCCAGGAGGAGAGGTAAACATTGTCTCCGAGGGTCCCAAGGACAAACTGAGGCACAAGTCCATCAAAGTTTACTCCAAAGGGCCAGTGAGTTTGTTGGTCCTCTCTACAGAGCATGATCCATGTCTGGGTTATTTACCACAGCGTGGGCACCTGCTCCTCCACCCCCAAAAGCTTGAATGCAAAGTCTTCATCCAGTCAGGACAATGGCTTCCTCAAAGTCACATAGATGGAGTCCTCCTTGCCCCTTCCCCCAGTGTAGCCCCTTCCCAGTCTGGTCCCTCATGGACATTGGAGCTGGCTCGTCCATGGGGCTCAGCTTGGAGCTGCAGTCTTAGCTGGTCTCTGGGAATCTGACCCCACTCCCCAAGTTCCTGTCTGGGCTCTGTCCTCTCCTTGTCTGTCAGGTAGAGGGCTGCTCTGCTCCATAGCAGGACTCCTTGCCAGCCGGATAAACTGGGAGCACTCTCCCACCCATGCTGGAGAGGAGACAGGCAGGCATCCCTGCTTCCTCCTCCCGGGTCTCCCTGCTGGAGAGGCCTAGGCTGCTGATGTTGGTACAGGTTGGCGCTGGGACTCCCGGCTCTGCAGAGGGAGGGTGCGAGTGGAGCCGAGATGCCGCCAGGAGAAGTTGGTGAGGCTGTGCGTGTCTGTGTGAGGTGCACACGCGCATCTGTGTAATACTGCAGTCGGCAGAACATAAAGCTGCCTTCCACGGAATGACTGAGGCTGAGGCTCGGGCATTGTTCTCTCTCTCTCTCTCTCTCTCTCTCTCTCTCTCTCTCTCTCTCTCTCTTCCCTTCCCCCTCTCCCTCTCTCCTTCCCTCCCTCCTTACTTCTTTCTCCTATTCATTCTCTGCTTCTTCCTTTTCACCCTCCTCCCCTTTCTTTCTCTTATCCCTCCCCCTCCAACCCCCACTCGGCCCAACCTGGAAAGAGGAAAATGTATTGAGTCTTGACTAGGTAAGTTCTCTGACCTTAGAAGTTTCTCTTGGGAATCTAGGGGCTGTTGGGGGGCAGTTTTTGCTGGGACATTGTATGCAGTGGTCCCCACTGAGGTGTGTGTGTGTGTGCCTGCCCTATACTGTGGGCAGAATACACAGGGCATTCACATCAGGGCTAAATAGGTGTAGCAGCAAATGCAGTCCCTGGAGATATGGCATCAGGGATGGGCAGGGGTGGACCTCTGCAGCTGTGGCTCCCACATCTGGAAGAGCACTGAGAGGTGTCTGGATTCAGCCCTGGTTTCCAGCTTCTTGCTGAGTATAGAGAAAGGCAGCTGCTGGGGTTGGAGCAGCTGCTAGATCCTGCGGAGCACAGAGTGCGGGTCCTCTGCTCCGTCAGCCAGAAAGGGCTGGTGTTCAGGAACGTCCCAGCTGTGTGGATGCCTCTGTAGGGGCAGGCATGTCATGTATGTGTCTGTGAGGGAATATCAGAGTGGACAGCGTATATGTCCAGGCTGTGGAAAGTCAGCCTGTGGTGTGTGTGTGTGTGTGTGTGTGTATCCTATACTGTGAGCACAAGACACAGGGCATTCACATCAGAGCTGAATGTCATGTATGCACACAGAACACGTGTTACACACATGTGAAAGGTTTGTAACGCCTGTGTGGGCAGTCACTGTGTGCTGGGTATGATTTTTGGTTTGTATTTTTGTGCGTTCACGTGTACACCTGGATGTATGCTCAAGTGTGTGTAGGCATCTTCCATGTGCACAGGTGCAGTGAACATGTGTAGGCCCAGGAGCATTGTGTATGCATGTGTGCTGGGTGGCTGCAGACATGCGCTCTGTGCTGCATGTGTACAGCGTGTGTGGGCAGCATCTGTGGAGGTACACTTTCTCCACGAGGCCTGGTCCCTGTCCCGAGGGCTGCAGTAGTTCTCTGTGGGACTGGGCCTCAGGCTGAGCAGACGTGGATAAGCACTTGGCCCTGTGTGATTTGCTTGGCTGCCTACTCCTGGTCATCTTAGGATTTATGTGGTGCTGTGCTCTACAGTGTTTACAGGCCATCACACTGACCAGGTGCAAGCATTGAAGTGTGTGGGTGTATAGGACTGAGCATAGTGTGTGTTGTATGTGTGTGTGTCTGCTGAGTATGTTGCACGGAGTAGCATGTGTGTATGTTGGTGTGTCGTATATTGGGATGTGTGTGTTTGTGTCTATGAAGTATGTTTTATGCTTTATCTTGTGTTCTCTTTGTATGCAGTGCGGTATGTTTGCCCTGCGTGTCAGTTGAAGCAGGTACGTGTATGTGCGCTCTAAGCTGAACCCCTGTTTTGCTCCCAGGTTGGTGCCTGCCCTATCTGGATCCCCAACAACTCCTCTGTAGCCATCCCCAGGAAGCTGGCCCTCCATGGTTTTCAGAGTACACACCCAACTCCTCGTGGTTCATCTGAGTCTCTGTGACTTGAGCCTCAGATACTTGCATTCCTGCAGGTGGACAGAGGCTCAGGGTCTGGTACTGCTGCTCCAGGCTTCAGGCTTGGAGCTGAGCCCTCCCACCCTCAGCTGTGGGCTGGGACCACATCATGAATTTTGTAGTATTATAGGACTGCTGCGGCAGCTGGTGTCCCAAGAACCATCCATCTCCCTGTGCTGATGGCTGCTGTAGTTCCACCTCCAGCCCTGACGATAGAGCCCTCCTCAACGCCTGCCATTCTGCACTTCATTGGAGGGTTCTCAGTGCTTTAAACTACAGCCTCTCAAGTATGCATCCACCTGATCCCTATGCTGAGGCCTGTCCCAGCATGCGCCACTCCCTATCTGAGCCCTGTCCCAGCATGCCCCACTCCTATCTGAGCCCTGTCCCAGCATGCCCCACTCCTATCTGAGCTCTTTCCCAGCATGCCCCACTCCCTATCTGAGCCCTGTCCCAGCATGCCCCACTCCCTAGACTGCCCTGGTGGCATCTCCAGCTGCTCTTCCAGAGGACCTGGGTTCAATTCCCAGCACCTATATAACAACTTACTTACAGATTGGGGTCTGTAACTCCAATCCAGGGGATCTGATGCCATCTTCTGGCCTCCATAGGCACTAGGTACACACATGATACACAGTCATACATTCAGGCAAAATGCCCATGCACATAAAAAATAAATAAATAAATAACAAAAAAGAGGCCGGCTGGAGAGATGGCTCAGCAGTTAAGAGTACTGACTGCTCTTCCAGAGCTCCTGAGTTCAATTCCCAGCAACCACATGGTGGCTCACAACCATTTGTAATGGGGATCCAATGCCCTCTTCTGGTATGTCTGAAGACAGTGACAGTGTACTCACATACATGAAATAAATAAATAAATCTTAAGACAACAACAACAACAACCAAAAAACCCCACTCTATTGTAAGAACAGGCACGGGTCATTTACCAAGGTCAAAGCCTGCAGGGCATCACAGAAAACACCAGCAAGATGGATGGCCCCAACAATGTCTCACTCATTCATGGTGACGACACACTGGGCCTGCCAGAGTACAAGGTGGTCTCAGTCTTCCTGGTGCTCCTGGTGTGCACCACGGGCATCGTAGGCAATGCCATGGTGATCCTGGTGGTGCTGACCTCCCGTGACATGCACACACCCACCAACTGCTACCTGGTCAGCCTGGCTCTAGCGGATCTCATTGTGCTGCTGGCTGCAGGGCTGCCCAATGTCTCTGACAGCCTGGTGGGGCACTGGATCTATGGACACGCTGGCTGCTTGGGCATCACCTACTTCCAGTACCTAGGCATCAATGTCTCCTCCTGCTCCATCCTGGCCTTCACTGTGGAGAGGTAAGTGCCCATGGGCTACCCATGCCCTCTTCCTTCCCCTTGTCTTTCTTAATGGGAATCCTGGGAGTATGGATTTTAGCTGGAATTCCTGGTAAATTAAGGTCCCTCTGAACAGAAGGGGAGCTGAGCCAATGGGAGGTGCTAGAAGAACCAGCCCAGATGCAGACATTTATTCTGCTTATGTAGGGCATCAGAGAAAGTCCTGGCCTTCATCTGAGTCTAGATTTCCCACCTGGAACACAGGCAGTTGGATGGACCTTCCCACCACCCCCACTACGGGGGACTGAACCCTGGGTCTTCCATGGACTAGGCAAGCCGCATCTCTAATCTTTTTTTAAAAAGTTAAAGGAGACAAGGACTTGGTAAGGCTGATTATAAGATCATGATCCTCCTGCCTCAGCATCTTAAGAAGCTGAACTAACAGGCCTTCACTGCTGTGCTTGGCTATGGAGTGTCTCTTAAGTCTACTCCAGCTTAGTTTTGGGTTCTTCTTTTTTGGTTTTATAATACAGGGTTTCTCTGTGTAATAGCCTTGGCTGTCCTGAACTCTCTTTGGAGACCAGGCTGGTCTAGAAATCACAGAGCTCCACCTGCCTCTGCCTCCCAAGTGCTGGGATGAAAGGCGTGCCCCACCACCCACAGCCTCAGTTTGCTTTTCTTATTTGCTTGCTTGCTTGTTCATTTTATGAGAGGGGGTTTCATTTTGAAGGCGTACTAGAATAGCAAACTGTCCTTGAATTCTCTTTGTAGCTGAGGCTGGCTCAAACTCACAGCCTTATCTCCTGAGTCCTGGAATTACAAATGTACCACCACATCTTGCTTAGCTCTGACTGTAACACCCCAGAGACAAATGGTCCAGTGGTTGAACCTGCTAATGCGAAGCCTGAATTTTGGGTCAAATTCAGCTGTACTGTTGGCAGGAGCTGAGGCTTTGAACTCAGGAACTAGTTAGGGCTTCCCAGAATCTGAATAGAGCCCAGACCTAACACATTCAAACAATGAATCATCTTCTTCTCTAATACAAATATGTGCTTGTCTGGGGACAAGTCAGGATGTCTCATCTGAACCATGTGATTGTCCCCAGGGGCCTAAGGGTGAGCAATAAAGGGACCTGCCTGTGACAGACATACAGTCTGACCCCTGCCTCTGGTGGAGGGTAGCACAAAACACGTTGACTATACGTGGTCTCTTTAGATCACGAAGGTGCCTTTAGAAGGCATGGGGATCACAGGAAGGGACATTTCTAGATTGATCTATTCCTCTCCAGGGGCTGGCTTTGCTCAGCCTGTCCTTGAAGTGTCCTTGCCCTAAACCTCTACAGCCCTCTACTTCTGACCTTTCAAAGTAAAGCTCAGCCACTACTACCTAGATAAGTCTCAGCTTGGGACAGTAGTCCCAGACATACGGCAAGCAGTCCTTAGGAGCCAACACGCCTTGCTGCTGTCCCACAGGTACATCGCCATTTGCCACCCAATGAGAGCACAGACCGTGTGCACCGTGGCCCGGGCCAAACGGATCATCTCAGGCATCTGGGGGGTCACGTCCCTCTACTGCTTACTCTGGTTCTTCCTGGTGGACCTCAATGTTCGTGACAACCAGCGCCTAGAATGTGGCTACAAGGTGTCCCGAGGCCTCTACCTGCCCATCTACCTGCTGGACTTCGCTGTCTTCTTCATCGCACCCTTGCTGGGGACCCTCGTGCTCTATGGGTTCATCGGGAGGATCTTATTTCAGAGCCCCTTGTCCCAGGAGGCCTGGCAGAAGGAGAGGCAGCCCCACGGGCAGAGCGAGGGTGCATCAGCCAACTGCTCCAGGTCCAACAGCTCCACATCCTCCAGGAAGCAGGTTAGGGGTCCTCCTGGGTACAGGTGGGGTTGCGTGTGAGGAGAGTCATGGGGAGAGGCACAGATATGCAAAAGAACGTAAAATACACAGGGTGTAACTCAGAAAGCAGATAAGTGAAAGTCACTTGGTCCCCATTTGTTAGACCATCTGTCTGTCTGTCCATCCATCCATCCATCCACCCACCCATCCATCTATCCATCCACCTATCCATTTATCCACCCACCCATCCAACCACTCACCCACCCATTCAGCCAGCCACCCATCCACCCATCCACCCACCCACCCATCCAACCACTCACACACCCATTCATCCATCCATCCACTCACCCACTCATCTATCCATTTATCCACCCACCCATCTATCCATCTGTCCATCCATCTGTCTGTCTGTCTGTCTGATGTGACGCTGGAGAACATCAGTGAGGGGGACAGTTCAGGGGCTTTGCTGACAGGTGACAAATAGATACAGCTCTGAGCTTGGCAAGGGAGAAACCCAAGCTGGGGGCATGGAAGTGGTCCAGGAGGAGGAACAGCCAAGGTTGAGGTGAGGTGTCAGGCTGAGCAGAGAAGGGACTTTGAAAGGGGAAAAGTCATAGTGGGGACCCTATCTGAGTCCAGGGACTTTGTAACAGAAGGGGGTGGTGACCGTCCTGGTGCTGTCTGAGGCCCAGTTCTGAGAGATCTCCAACCCTTTGGTTTTGGTGTCTAGCGCATTGGCAACCCTGTTGTCAGCAACCCTGTTGTCAGCTTTCCCCATGCCTGGTGGGTGTCTCAGAGCCACGCCCCACCTTAGCCACGCCCCACCTTAGCCACGCCCCACCTTAGCCACGCCCCCGTCTTTCCTCTCCGTAGGCCACCAGGATGCTGGCGGTGGTCGTGTTGCTTTTTGCAGTGCTGTGGACCCCCTACCGCACACTGGTGCTGCTCAACTCCTTCCTGGCCCAGCCTTTCTTGGACCCCTGGGTCCTGCTGTTCTGCCGTACTTGTGTCTACACCAACAGCGCTGTGAACCCTGTCATCTACAGCCTTATGTCACAGAAGTTCCGGGCGGCCTTCCTGAAACTGTGCTGGTGCAGGGCAGCTGGGCCACAGAGACGTGCAGCGTGCATCCCCACCAGTAACTACAGTGCGGTCCAGGAGACCTCGATAGGAACTGAGAAGATGCAGCTGGGCTCCAGTGAGGTCACAGGTCCCATAGCAGCTGGTTCCCTGCATTGCCAGCAAAAGCCCCACTTCAGTGTGCCCTGAGGACTCCTGCCTGGCCCCTGACTCCACTCCCTGGGTTGGCTTACTCACTGGCCTAGCTGGCTGGCATCTGCTCTGAGCACAGCGAACGATCAGGAGAGGGGCAGGCAGCAGCTCCTTGCTTCTGGGTCTCCAGAGATTCCTTTACCATGAAGGAGGACACTGGAATGCTCTCAGCTAGACCCTATGTGTGTAGTTCTCTACTCTGAAGTGAGGCCAATGAGAACAGACAGGAGGCCGGAGGCCCAGCCTTCACTGCCTGTGGGATCAACCCCCTTTATCTGTTTCACTCAGCACTTTAAGCATCTTTCAAGGGTGTTACCGAAGGAATGTTCTTCCAGGCTTTGATCTTATCTGTCCCTTGGTGAGCCCATGCACATAGGTCTCAAATGTGGTCACTGGACAGTGGGGGTTACATAGAATGATTGTCTGCCAGTCACACCGGCACCCAGGCCTGCTCTGTGATATTCATCCTCAGCCCCGGCTCTCTTTCCCGTCTTCCCTAACAGTGGGAAACCCCGCAAGAGACTCCACCAAGCAAGCTCACCCACCGCAGATGTCCATGAAGGGGACCATCTGTCTTTCCAACAGCCATCAAGAAGCCACCTCTACCTCCTCAACCCCAAATGCGCAAGCTGGGCTCTCTGAACCCACTTCGCCAGGGGCTTCCCACCTCAAAGACGAGGAGGTAGGAAACATCTGTGCTGGGGGACAGCCCCATCACTGCCTGCAGGACCACTGGCTAAACCTGAGGACAGCAGACCTCTGCATCCTGCCCTGTAAATGTGGTCAGTGACCCTATCTTGGTCCTGGGACCCCAAGGCTGAGAGACACAGTAGCAAAGTCTCAACAAGCAGGACTGTTCACTCTGTGACTGGAGACCTCAGGAAGACAGGAATTGGGAGGATGCTTGGTGGTGGTGGTGGGGGGGTTTGGCCCAGGTGACTCAGCCTATTCAAGCAGTTTCTGGCCTCCTGGCTGATATGGTCCTAGTGACTCATTCCTGCTCTAGGGACCTGGGGTGCTCCAAAATAGATGTGGCATTTTAGGGGCTCTGCTAGCTGAGTCTGGGCTGATGGGGCAGGTCATTAAGAACCTCAGGAGGTAAGCCCACACAAAGGTGGGGATGTGCTCAGGGCAGCCGAGCCCTATCTCCGGCCTCCCCGTGTCATTCTCTGCAGCCTGAGAGGCACACGCTCTAGAAGGCCACACACCAGGCTGGCTGTGCTGGGCCAGCACTTGCTCCGTCTTCTACCTGGGCAGGCTGGATCTGCCACCCTTTGATCAGGTTTTTCCTGAAACACCCCAGGGGATCTTTCTTCAAAGATGGCCCTTTACCCCTGTGACTCAAAACCTCGGAGTTCTTCCTTACCACACCCAGGTGACATACAGGTGTCCCCTAGCTGAGAGGCACATTTCCTAGAAGCCCACCCGCCAGGCTGGCTTGCTGATGTGGCCAGACAGACCTGACCCTCAGCTCCTGCCCTGTGTCTTGCACCGTTGTCTGAGACGAGAGCTTATGTCCACTGGGAAGTAGTGCGGGGGGAGGCAGCACAGATGTGGGGGACAAACACGGAGGTACGGCAGGATAGGCGCAGCCATGGTCTCCCATGCTGTCCCGCCTGCCAGTGTGAGCTGCACATGCAGGCACAGCTCAGATGTGTGACCTCGCCCCATGGCTGTGCTCTGGATAAATCCACCATCCTTGTTCATGGGTCTCCTGATGTCAGACACGCCAAAAATGTTCCTGTCCTATCTCGTCTTTCCTAGTTGACTGTTCCCTTGAAGCACAACATTGTTACCAACATGACTGTGTCACGTCTGTTGGGGGTATATAGCAGCCATTGCCTCGTGTCACATGACAGGCTCACACTGGCCTGTGCTTTAGTTAAGCTAGTCCACGTTGCTGACAGCCACGTGATGAAACCCACAGGTATGACCGATGTCTGCCAACTCTATACACCATCCTTACCCTGTGCCTCCCAGTGGCACCTGAGCCCTGTGTCTGGCCCTCCCTGAATACTTCTCTCTCTCCTGGTGTCACAGTGAGAGTTGGGTCCTCGGTTCTTGTACCACCTCAAGAAAGAATTCAAGCAGCCCACGAACAGTATCGGAAGCTAAACTGAGCTGTACCCCCAGGCCCAGTGAATGTTCACTGAAAGAATGGAGCCATATCAAGAGAGGGGTCACCTAGGGATCACCCAATGTGGAGCTGGAGGATGGCTTTCACTGCTCCAAACTTTCCCCTCCTGACCCTAGGGTAGATTCTGGAGCTTGATGACCCCAAGGACTTTGTAACTTGCTGTGCAGTGCACATGTCTCTACCTAGAAGTCACCCGCAAAGTCCACCAGAGTCCGGATGCCAATGCTACTGGCATGGTGCGTTGAACTTTAGTTCACAGGAGCTGGGGGCTGGATCACTGAATCTAGTTCTTGTTCCTTATTGTATGCACCAAGAAGCAGCTGAAGCAACCTTACCCGTGACGCTGCACAATGCTCCGTTCCCAGGATCCTGAATTTCAACTCCTCCGCGTCCCACTCACATCTGGCTAAGTGCATAATCAGTAATGTCACTGTGCACGGGCAAGTGACAGAATTCTGCTCATCCCCAAGTATGGGCAGAGACACCGGCTATCAGTCTGTAGATGCCTGAAGAGGAGATGCCCACTCAGCTGGACAGCTACCCAGAAAGCAGCTATCTGTAGACCCTGGGCTCTGCAAGAGCCTCACAGTGCATAGCTCAGTTCCTGGGACACCGGGGCAGAAGTCTCTGTCAGACGTGGACCTAAAACATCACATCATGACAAACAATCTCCGGGAGTTTTGTGTCGTGCTGCTACATGCCTGGTATGCTCACTTTCTCGAGTGAACTTTGGTCCTGTAGGGCCCAGCTCAGGTTGTGGCTAGGCAGAGTTCCTGAGGTCACAACTGTGCCATCCTCTGAGACAACTGTGCTTCGGCTCCGGGCCCAGCTGTTGCCTAGCTTAGCTTCTCTTTGTAGCCTACAAGGTCAGTGGCCAATCCCACTCTTGGCTTGGAATGTTCTGTTTGGCGGAGTTGCTGGTTGGCTGGTGAATGCTTTCTAGGCCTATGGTGTCCTGTCATTCTGGAGTTTCTCCTTTGAGTGGTGGCCTTAGGATCTGGGGTGGGATGAAGCAGGCCACCGGCCCCATGGGTCTTGTAAAGGTTTCTGATGTTCAGTCACGGTGGATCCATGCCTCAAAAGCAGTCTTATTGGGTTATACCGAACACCATGGAGAATAAGATCCATGGATCAGACCTCCAGGGTCCCTCTGGCTCTGAATCAGACTCTCCTTTACACGTGTGGCACGATTTCTGTCCTGAGGCAGCTGAGAACCCATGAATGGAAAGATTGTAGAGAAAGACACGGGCGACGTGAGCCGCCTTTGGGACTGCCTAACGGTACTCATTGCAAACGCATGCATTTGCGCACGTGTAACATAAAGTCTTTTTTTGGTTTTTTGAGACAGGGTTTCTCTGTGTAGCCCTGGCTGTCCTGGAACTCACTCTGTAGACCAGGCTAGCCTCGAACTCTCAAACTCAGAAATCCGCCTGCCTCTGCCTCCCAAGTGCTGGGATTAAAGGTGTGAGCCACCACTGCCCGGCGCAACATAAAGTCTTTTACATACGCATGAGCTGTGCTTGGAACAAGTCTTTTGTATGTTTTCCCTGGAGGCCAGGTGACCGTGGATATCTGTTCAAAAGGTTGGGTTCTGGAACCTTCTCAGATCACAGTAAACTACAGATACCTTGTTTCTCTCCCACAAGATTCAGGAACCTCCAGTTCCTCCATGGTCAGGCACACACACCCTCCCCAGTCCCCAGTCACTCAGGATCATCCCTGAGAGATGCTGGTCTATTTCATGACATGACGGCCTCCCCCATCCTCCCTGAGGAGACCGGATGCTTGTTCAGGGCTTTCCACAGACAAGCAGATCCAGCCTGTGAGAAGTATGGTCTAGAAACACAGTAACTAGCCTAGCAGCCCCATTTGTCACCTGCAGTCCATCGAGAGCCACCCAGGTGACTGGAAGGCCATCGGTATGAGTGTCGTGGGATTAGAAGGAATAGTGTTGGCCTTTCTCACTCCTCTGAAGCTTCTGGGAGCCGAAGGTGCTAGAAGACAGAGTATCGACTGAGTTTTCTCTGAGTGCCAAAGGCAAATAGGAGTCAAAAATAAAAAAAAAAAACAAAGTTAAATTCTTGCTGGTGGGAAAGGGGAAAGGGGTTTCTATTTTTGTAGTGATTTTACTCTAGACAACCTGGCGTGTTAGGTTCTTCCCATGCTGTTTTTTTTTTTTTTTTCATTTTTAATGTTTTATATATGAGGTTAAGTCTGTGCTCATGACCGCAGTACCCTCAGAAATCAGAATAGGGCATTGGATCTTGGATCTCCTGGAGCTGGAGTTACAAGTGGTTGTGAGCCACCCAGTATCAGAGCTGGGAACTGAACTCAGGATCAGCCTCTGCAGAAGTAGCAGCAAGTGCCCTTAACTGCCGAGCCATTTCTCAAGCCCTCTGTGCCGGTTTTGTGAATCTTTTTTTAAAGGCAGGGTTTTGCTATATGGACCAGGCTGACCGTGAACTCTAGAGCCTACTATCTCCAGCTCGTGAGCACTGAGATTGTAGTCACGTATATATAAGCAGTCACTGACTATACGGAGGATATTTCTCAAGGACTTAGCTCCATTTCCGACCGATGATCAAAAGCTGGGGTTCTGTCTCCCAGTGTCTGGCAAGGGGAGCTCATGAATGGCACAGGGCAGGTCAAATGTCAAGGAACAGAGGCACAGGAAATAGACAAAGTGCCTGGCCGGGTGGCCCTCTGTGTTCCAGTTTGTTGTCTCTGGGGGATGGGGATAGGAAACAGGAGGCACAGTGCCCCTCATGAAGCATTGCTAGGACACTTCAGGGAAAAATGGCAGCTAAAGGGGACCACGGAAGGTTGGCCCAGGATGAAGTGCAGGGCAGACACCTCATGG